AGAGCGCTCACCTTGAGCTGAAGAGCTGAGGGACAGCGCCCAGGCCCAGAGTTCAAGCCCCACGACTGACCAAAAAAAAAAAGAAAAAAAGCACCGCTACCCAGGAGGCTGACATCTGAAGATGGCAGTTCAAGCCAGCTTGGGTAGGAAAGTCCATGAGAGTTTTATCTCCAATTAACTACCAGAAAACTAGAAGCGGCACTGTGGCGTAAAGTGGTAGAGTTCTAGACTCCAGCGAAAAAACTCAGAGACAGTGCCCAGCAAGCCCCAAGACTGAAAATAAAAAGCACCATTACCTTTGGATTGTGCATAACGATGGTCTCGCCACTTGGAAACTCTAATCTTCGGTGCCACTGATTTGTGGTAACAGCTTTTTTGTACTCAGCCTACAATAAGAGAAACATAATCCAGTATAAGAAATGTGTATCACATCAGGATAAAGTGTGGAAGAAAAACAAAAGCTATGATGCTAATAAGAATCATAGTAATAGCAGCTCTGATTTACTTACTTTTGCTCAAGAATTGGTTATAAAGTAGCCCTTCAAGTCACCAATATTCTACTAGAGTCCAATGTCCCTAGAGCAGGCATAACTGATAATGCCTAAAAACTGCAATTATAAAATTAAACAAGAAAGAAAGCAAGATAACAGATATACACACAAAAGTATGTGAATGTGTATGGGAAAAAAATCTGTAACAACGGGGCTGGGAGGGTAGTTCAGTGGTAGAGCGCTTGCCTTGCATGCTTGAGGCCCTGGGTTTGATTCCTCAGTACCACATAAACGAAAAGAAAAAAGCCAGAAGTGGCGCTGTGGTTCAAGTGGTAGAGCACTAGCCTTGAGCTGAAGAGCTGAGGGACAGCACCCAGGCCCAGAGTTCAGGCCCCATGACCGGACCCAAAACATCTAACTACTAAAAAAAATTGTATACAGATGAAAAGCAGCCTAGAAAATGTTTTTTAATATAATTTCATTGTTATTATTAAGGTGTTGTATAGAAGGGTTACCATTTCATAAGTCAGGTAATGAGTACAACTCTTTTTGGACAATGTCACCCTTCCTCTGCTATCCCACTGTTCACTCCTCCTATCCAGGTCCACAAATTGCATAGTTCATTTTCCACATAATGCTAAGTACCATGATTGCATTTGTTCATTCTTCCTCCCTCCCTTTCTTTTTTTTGGTCGGTCGTGGGGCTTGAACTCTGGGCTTGGGCGCTGTCCCTGCGCTCTTCAGCTAAAGACAAGTGCTCTATGCTTGAGCCACAGTGCCACTTCCGGTTTTCTGGTGGTATTAGAGATAAGAGTCTCATTGACTTTTCTGCCCAGGCTGGCTTTGAACTGTGAGCCTCAGATCTCAGCCTCCAGAGTAGCTAGGATACAGGTGTGAGCATGGGTGGCTGGCTCCTCCCTCCCTTTCTATGGTGCCCCGCCCCCCACCCCCCAAAACACACACACACACACACACACACACACACACTCAAAAGACAGAAAAAAGGGACGAACAAAACAAAAACACAGCACCAACAACAACAAAAAGAAAAACCTGTGTTTCAATTTCCTGGAACTTGTTTCCATACTATTCAGAGGCATTACACCTCTGGGTTCCTCTCCTAAGAGTATCCTCCTTCAGCTGGGAATGTGGCTTAGTGGTAAAGTGCTTGCCTAGTATGCATGAAGCCCTGGGTTCCATTTCTCAGTACCACATACACAGAAAAGGCCAGAAGTGGCACTGTGGCTCAAGTGGTAGAGTGCTAGCCTTGAACAAAAGCAGCTCAGGAACAGTGCCCAATCCTGAGTTCAAGCCCCAGGGACTGCCCCCCCCCCAAAAAAAAGAGTGTCCTCCTTTCTTACTCTGTATGAATGCCTACAGTCCTGTATAATTTATGTCTTGGTGTATTTTAGATCTTGCTTCTGCATATGAAAGAAAACACATGCCATTTGTCTCTCTGAGCTTGGCTTACTTAACAAGATTTGTTCTAGGTCCATCATTTCCCTGCAAATGACATTCTTTCTAATGGATGAATAAAACTCCATTGTGTATAAGTACCACATTTTTTTTTTGATCCATTCATCTTTTGTAGGGCATCTGGTCTGTTTCCATAATTTGGCTATTGTGTAGCAATGAACATGGATATGAAACTATCTTTATGTATCCTGACTTGCAATATTCTGGGTAGATGCCCGAATGGTATGGTTGGGTTGTAGGGAAGATCTATGTTTAGTTTTTTCAGGAGTCTCCACACCTCCATTTAGAGTGGTTGTACTCTGCAGTACGATAGGGTTCCTTATCCCCCACGTCCCCACCAGCATTTGTTGTCAGATTTTGCAATATTAGCCAATCTAACTGGGGTGAGATGGAATCTGAGTTGTTTTGATTTGCATTTCCCTTATAGTCAGGGATGTTGAACATTAGGAAATATTTTGTAGCCAGATGCCAGTGGCTCACACCTGTAATCCTAGCTACTCAGGAGGCTAAGATCTGAGGAATGAGGTTCGAAGCCAGCCCAAGCAGAAAAAGGCCTTGTGAGTATCTTATCTCCAATTAACTACTCAAAAATGGAAGTGGCACTGTGGCTCAAAGGAGAGTGCTAGCCTTGAGCAAAAAGAGCTCAGAGAGAGTGCCCAGGCCCTGAGTTCAAGCGCCATGACTTACAAAAAAGATACTATTTTTTAAAAGGTAGATTTGGAAAAGGCAGTAAGATTGCGGTCAAATTTTTCCTTATTTGTTCTTTTTTTTATTTTTGTGAACAGCATCAGGAAAAGTTGTCTTATAAATCAAGTCAGTGACTATGGCAGTGTCACCTAAGGCTCCACTGCATGTCCTGTAAAGAAACGCAAAGGGAGTAAGGTACACACACCTCTAGTTTTTCACTGAACTCCTCTGTATAGGGAATAAATCTGCTGTCGGTGTCCCCCTTGTAAAACCAAGTACAGCGCCTCACTTCGGTTGGTTCCTCATCCCAATACACGGCTTTCCTCACCCGGTCATAGAGGTAAACGTCATAGCGCCCTCCATCTGTGCCTAGAACCACGCTCTCTGGGTCTGGCTGGACTGAAAAACAAAAGGCACAGTTCCCCCAAACATTATAGTGAATATTTGAAAATGGTAAAGAAGAATGTGACTATCATTTAAAATTTAAAGACTATTAACTAAGCAGTGATTATGTTGCTCAAAATTACGACTCTTCTCAATTGGTAAAAAGGTGATTAGAAAATAACTAAAATGGCCAGACACGGGTGGCTCACGCCTGTAATCCTAGCTACTCAGGAGGCTGAGATCTAAGAATCATGATTCAAAGAAGCCTGGGCAGGAAAGTCTATGAGACTCTTATCTCCAATAAACCACCAGAAAACTAGAAGTGGTGCTATGACTCAAAGTGGTAGAGCACTAGCCTTGAACAAAAGAGCTCAGAGACAGTGTGCAGGCCCCAACTTCAAGCCTCACAACTGATAATAAAAAAAAAAAATTGAAATAACTAACATTTGCAATTTTTCAAAGCAGTAATACTTCATGAAGCATGTTGCTAGAGAATACTGGGTAGTTTTTAAGTCCTGTGACCAAATAATATGAGGACAAATAAACAAAAGGTCACACTGTATACCACAAGACTTCCTAGAGCCCAAGTGTACTCCTGTGTAGGATCTGTATCAAGAAATATATAATGAGTGACATCTCCAAACTGTTAGCTGACACAGAACACATTTCAGCATCTATACAAACTGGAATCTCACAGAAAATGTTTACTAAGACTGAATTACAAATGAGTAAAAGAACTAAGAAAAATGAACTCTGATCATATAAATGACTACTCTGAGTTAAAGCTTCTTTTAAACAAGGAACATTAGCCGGGCGCCGGTGGCTCACGCCTGTAATCCTAGCTACTCAGGAGGCTGAGATCTGAGAATCGAGGTTCAAAGCCAGCCCAGGCAGGAAAGACCGTGAGACTCCTATCTCCAATAAACCACTAGAAAACCGGAAGTGGCGCTGTAGCTCAAGTGGTAGAGCGCTCGCCTTGAGCTGAAGA